ATGGGCCTGGTGTGGTCTCAGTCTGGGTGGGGGTCCCTTGTATTCCCCCTTGTGTGTCCCCCATGGGGCTGGGGCAGCATGAGAGAAGGAGGAGAGGACCCCTATGTGTCCCCTTGTCCCCCCAGGGTCCCCCTCAGACAAGAGGGAGGGTCCTCCTGTGTCCCCCCCATGGGGCTGGGGCAGCATCAGAGGGTGGTGCTAGACCCACCATGTCCCACATCCCCCCACGGCCTCCCCAGGTGGACCAACCCCAATCCCAGCCTCGTGTCCCCCTCACCTCCATTTGCTTGTAGTCACAGACGGCCTGGATGGGGGGCCGGCCCTGCAGGGGTGTCGAGGGGCTGCGTGGCTTCAGCTGCACGATGGTCCTGGCACGGCGGGACAGAGCTCCCAGCTGCGCCCCCAGCTCCGCCAGCTGCTCCTTCTGCTCCTGTGGGGCACATTTGGGACACCTCAGGATTTGGGGTGCCCCATGGTGTGGAGGGGCAGCAAAATTTTAGGGAGATACCAGCTTTTTTGAGAGAGCTCAGAAATATCAGGAGGTCCCAAAGGTTTTGGGAGCTCTTGGGATTTTGGTGGGGGGTCCTGGGAGTTTGGGGAGGGGTCAGGAATATGAGGCGGGGGGGTCACCCTGGTCTGTTGCAGCAATGGATGTGTTGGGGTCACCCCAGGGGCTGCAATGGGGTGGGCACCCCAGTGTCACAGACATCTTTTATGAAAAATCCTTTTCTTAGGATTTTTCCTCCTGAGAAGCTGGGAGGCCTCAGGAACAAAATGTAAACAATGGTTATCTGCTGCTGTGGAATGCAATAGGTGCATCTGTGATTGGTCTCATGTGGTTGTTTCTAGTTAATGGCCAATCACAGCCCAGCTGGCTCAGACAGAGAGCTGAGCCACAAACCTTTGTTATCATTTCTTTCTATTCTATTCTATTCTTAGCTAGCCTTTTGATGAAATCCTTTCTTCTATTCTTTTAGTATAGTTTTAGTGTATTATATATCATAAAATAATAAATCAAGCCTTCTGAAACATGGAGTCAGATCCTCACCTCTTCCCTCATCCTCAGACCCCTGTGAACACCGTCACGCCCCAGCACTCTGCAGCTGCACACCCCAGGGGCTGCTGTGGGGCTCTGATTTTGGGGGCTGCCACCTCAGAGTCGCCAG